TGGCGGCTTGGCCGCGGGGGCCCTAGGGGAGCCGGCTCCCATCCCTGGCCTCACCTGGGCGCGTCGTCGGCCCCACGGAGCCTCCTGGAGTCCAGGATCGGCGGAGTTGGGAAGCAAACTTCCCACGTTTGCTATGTTGCCCTTTGGAGACAAAACGAGGTACTTTATTCAGCACTTCCCTCCCCACTTTCCCTGGTGGCGCGGGAGGACCCGGTGCTGGGAGGTGGCACCTGGGTCGCGCTGGCGGGGAGATGCCTCATTGACTGTGTGACTGTTTTTCCTTAGGGTCTTGTAGCTGTATTTCTTGGGATTTTAGATTGGGCCCTTTTAATCTGGTTTTTCTAATGAACATTCCGAATTGCGAATTTAATCCCTTTGAGTTTTTTGTTTGGTTTTTCCATTTTCTTTTTTGACGAAAGCGACGGCTCCGGGACAAATCTTACATTCTTTTGTTTAAAGATCTAGCTTTCCTTTGAAATCTCTTTTCCCAGTCTTCTTCAAAATCCTAAATCTGGAGGGTCAGAGGCTAACTCAGCAAAGGGACGTGGTTTCTTTTTAAACTTTTCTGCGAGTTTGGAGTGAGGTACTAGGGCCCTATGGATCTAGAATTATTGATTGCTACCTCAGTCAACAGTTTTCGGGTCACCTGCTACTCCAGGCAGTAGGTACCTAGGGCTTTCACTCTGCACATTTCCACCTCTCTGCCCCCATTGAGTTCCAACTCAGAGAACGAACGGGCGGGAGAACTAGGCTGGTTTTCTAGTGTGTGTTGGAGGTGTTCCTTAGGTAGATAATTAACAGATAAAGGAATAAAGTTAGTTTGTCTAGTTAACATAAACGTCCCTTTCTTTGTTTTCCCTCTTTGAAAACGTAAGTTTGGGATGATTTGGTGGTAGTGTAAAACGAGTCATTGGTAAGAACACTTCACTGAGCCTACCAAAACTTTGAAAGTGTAGCAGCATATTATTAGAAAATAAACCGGAAGAGTTGTTACATTTCTTTCTCCATTGCAGTTTCTCCCAAAGAGCACAGGATTAAAATCGCAGTTTTTGAAATGTTATTGTTCACCGTAAAATTTAATCATGACTCCAAACTATTTTTTAGTTAGGGTTTTTATAGTAGAATTGATGTTGGCTATGAGCTGAACACTTTGTGTCTGTGTGTGTGCGTAGGCGCTGCACGTTGTGTCAAGTGAGTAGTTGTGTGGAGTGTAAGTTGTCAAGTGAGTAGTTGTGTGTAGTATAAGTTGGAAAACGAAAGTGTAAAATACACGAGGGTAGTGCAGGCCTTCAATTTTAAGAGTTATAAAATGCTGAGAGTTGTCAGTGTAAAGAGTATAGTCTAAGAATTTTTGTACAACGAGAGGTTTTTTATGAAATACAATTCCAGTTTGGCTTTATAGTTAGTGGCATTAACTGGAGACTTTTAAAATAAGAATAAGAAATTGACATCAGTTGATTGTAAAAACGCCAAACTGCTAAGCTCAGTGTGGTTCATATTATATTGGTAAAAAAATGTACTGCATATATTTTAACTTTACAACCAAGTTTCTTTTTTAATTAGAAGCTCAACATCACTTTCTTATGCTTTCTAAGTATAAAATGAATACTGCATGTGATTGAGGAAATCCATGAAATAGAATAGTTCTATGGAGGCATGTGGAATGCTTTAAGATTTAAAATAAATTTAGATTCATTCATTTTTTTCATCTCCATCAGCAGTCTGACTGCTGCTAGAACTATTTCCACATGGTTTAATTGTTGTCATTTGACATTCACACATGCCTCTCTGTCCTATCCCCAGACTAAATGGTTTGCTTTTAATGGTAGTCTTTGAACAAAATAAAGGTTCTGGCCTTCCTAAATTCTTGAACACCTGCAAGTTTCAATTGAATTTAAAAACAGCTATGCAGTTTTGCTTCTTATATTTATCTTCAAATACAAGCTAAGCACCTCATCAAAAATTATAGCTTACAGTATATAAATAGGTGCTTTTTAGTAATCAAAACCTGCTTGTGTGAACAACTGAACAATTCAGACACAAACTATTGGCATGGAAGTTAATTTAGATCTAGTAAAATATATGGGAAGGGGTACTCTCATCCTCTCCATTCTAGACAACTTGCAGTCTTGTAGGCCTGAGATACTGTGTTAATTGAGGGCTGTAATATGCATGCATTTCCAGATGAAGCTTTCCTGGTGCTAATGCTACTTAACAGCTGTTGTTATTCTTGACAGGATATTAGAATAATGTTACCTTTCATTAGTTCCTAATCAGCTCTGTGATTGTGGATGATGTTTCAGGTCATTTAGTATTGAAGAGGTGACGTATTTGTCTATCTCCTTGTTTTGTACCATGCAAAAAATAATGAAAATGGGAGATATTAAATGAGGCAAGTTTTATGACAGGTTGGATCAAAGTTCAGAAACAAGTTTTACACACTTCCATGTAGCGTTCTCTGATAGATTTTCTATTTGACACTGCAAAGCTGTGCCAAATGAATTATTTCCAGTTCCTGTGTTTGGGATTCTTTCTTTTTCCTTTGTCATTCTTTTCTCTTTTCTAAAAGCTGTAGTATTTATATTTGGAAGGTGTTTACATTAATTCAGATGATGAATATAAAATAAATATTGTGCTCCATTCTTTAAAAATATTAGTTCTATAATTATATGAAAATATAAACTTTTTCACAATGTTCAAACAAATGATGTGTTAAGAATATTTTGTTAAGCGATGGCTGATATTGAAAATAATAAAACTGGAACCTTGGCCCAGCCTGACTTTGATATTATTTATAATATTTTACGATGGTAATATTGGTGCAATAATGGCCCCTTTTCCTTGTGTTGTTTGTAACTAGGTTCCTCATAGCCAGCCCTAAGTTGCTTTTTAGTGTCTTTAAAGAATGCTTGTGGGTTGAATACTTTCTGCCTAGAAGATTACATAGAAGCCTTTAAATGTTGGTTCTCATTGCTCTTCTAACTGGTATTTTCAAAGTTCTAAACTCAGACTCATTTTAGGGCCTGAATTACATGATCCTGATTCCTAATACTGTGGTGGATTGAACAAATAGCAATTAGTGAAATGGATATCCTGAAGGAAACTGGTTTGCTTAGTGTAACACAAACTTAACTAAGCTTCTGGTAAAATTGAGTGGCTCTTTTTTTCAGTTTGTGATGTGACGACCTACTTGCCTATATTTTCATGAGATTATGTCCTCAGCACTTCAAGATGAGGCAGTGCTTCAGTATCTTGATTATGCTAAGCAAAAATTTCATCTAAATGGATTATTTAACTCTCATCTCTAATATTTCTTTTAGACTATTTGAAACATTTTCCACAATGTATAGTTTGTACTTTAACTCCTTATCTACTTGCAGAGAATGTATCTTACCAAGATGTACCTGTTTCTTTAGATTTGAAAACACAAGTGTACAGCTTTGCTCAAACTTTTTTTTTTCTCATTAAGTTTATTGGTACATTTTAGGGATACAGTACAGTTACATTCATCCTTGGAATCTTGTACCTTTACATACTGTGTCTTGCTTCTTACTTTTCCCCATTCCCCTGCCCTTCTTTCACCCCCTCTACCCTCCCCTATTTACAAAGACTTTGTTTCCATTTATTCCTTTTCTTTCCCCTACCCTTCCCACTTCCCCTACTCCTTTTTAATAATGCTCAGAAATTATTTCTTTTGAAATTGGAACAACTAAAGAGAACTGTATAGCATTTATTAGTTTATACCTGAAATGCCTAATCATTTCAGCCTAATCATTTATTAATCCTATAAGTGGTGATATATATACATATATATATATATATGATATATGCATATATATATATACACTAATTCTCCTTATATATATATATATATATATTTCTCAGAAATGATGGTGAGATAAAAACCTCTTTCTAGGATGAAAATTCTTTAATCAGGACTCCAGGACAATTAAATAAAATCATTGACTTGATTGATAGTGGAAGGTTAGAAAATGGCTAATTTCTGAATATAGGATGCAGACCAGCCAATGGACTTTGCAGGAC